AAACTCAAAATAAAATTAACCTTTTCTGGAGGGAAAAAAAGACTCCCATTAAAACAGCCCTGGTGTTCTTTTTAAGGCAGGGCTGACTCCCAGCGCTCTCTATTATAGTCCTGAGCCGTAACTGACAACGCGTTGCGAAGGAAACACCACACAACGCGGCAGCAGGGCCACAGGCGGCGAGGACTCATTAAGCGGCCACCAGAGGAGTCTGGCAGACTCCACGCGCTGGGCTTTTATCCAGTCACATCGCTTCTAATCTGCGTTTTGGCTGCAGCCCCAGGAACCCAACCGGAAAACTCATAAATACCCCATACTCCTTTAAGAGCTGGACCGTTCCCAGTGGGGCAGGCCCCTCCGTGGAGCCGTCTCCTCCTGGGAGCCCCACCTGACAAATAGGGCCTCTGAAGGACCTGTTTCTGACTGTGTTCACCTATTCCCTGGTCTTCTGGTCTCTGACTCTCTGCCCAGGGGCATTTGGAGCCAGAGAGCTGGTGTCTAGGCCAGCCTTGTTTTCTCTATTCTCGCCCCTTCCCCCAGCCTGCCATCAGGGGTCAGGGGTTTTTGTTATCACTCATCTGGATTCTGTCAACAGCCTCCAGACCATTCTCCCTGGTGGCCTGGCTTGCCTCTCCTAAGTCCAACCCCAGCATTGATGTTTTGTTCTTCCAGCAAACGTGTTCTGGCTCTCTCGCGGTCCCCAGGCACTGTGTTAGGCTCTGGCATATGAGAGGGAGTGGATAGGAAGATCCCTGCCTGTCCTCATGGGTTTACAGAGCAGTTAGCGGAGGTGGGCGAGCAAGAGGCACACGAAGGCGTGAGAGCATTTTAGGAAGCAGGAAGTGCTTCAGAGAGAGAGTGGGGCCTGGGCCGAAATACAGAAGAGTGACCTCAGGTGGCATGTCAGGGACACCTCTTAGAAGTGGTGGCAGCAGAACAGAGCCCTAATGAAGGTGTCCTAGGCCCAGGCAAGAGCCAGGAAAATCAGGAGACCATCAGGAGACCATGCAGGACCCGAGACGAGCCCGTCGGGTGGTGGGGGTGGCTGAGGGGAGATAGGAGAGGGTGACAGGAGGTGAGGTTGGCCAGCACGCTGCGTCCACATCATGAAGGGCCCTGTGGGCCACACCACGAGCTTAGATGTGTGTGGGAGAGGGCCGAGTTCGTGGGAGCCACTGAAGCACTGCAAGCAGGAGCGTCCTGATGTGGAAGCTGTCCCCGCCTGGGGCTGCCAAGGGCCCCTGAGCGCCTGTCAGCCCAGCCAGCACCTCTTGCTCCCGCCTCCCCTGGCTTCTTCCCGTGGCCTAAAGGCTGCGTGTGCTGATGGGCTCTGGCTGGCACAGAGGCTTATGCCTGTGGAAGAGCTAAACCCAGCCGGGCCTGGCCTCTGCTGCCCCAGCAAGCCCTGCTCCTTCTCGGTGCGTTTCCTTTTGCACTTCCACAAGGCACGCCTGTCCCCCACCCTGAAGGCACCTGCTGGGACCCCTGGTGGGTGCCTGCCTTCCCTTTAGGAGCCGGCTAAAGTGGCTTCCTCCGGGTTGCTTCCTCTGAGTCATGTAAACCTAGACGTCTCCCTCAGGGCTTCCCCACATTCCTGCCCACCCCCTCTCATACACACTAACTCCTCCAGGAAGAGGACCCAGCCAGGCAGCCCTGAATGGCCAACCTGCCACACCCTGCCTAGGTTCTCATCACTGCGACAGACTCCACCTTATGCTCACTTCCCAGGCGGGAACCCAGTCCTCCGAGGGGTTAGCCTCATGCCCCCTGGCTGGTGCTGGCACTGCAGGTCTCACGGGCAGCCTCAGGGAAAGTCACCGTGGCCTGATGTGAGCTGGACACAGAGTGGCCTCTTGGATGGGTCCATCACTGCACACAGGGTGTGAACTAGAGGTTGCAAGCTCACAGGCCCCCAGGGGGCCAACGGGTGGGAGGCCCAGGGGAGCAGGTGGGCAGGGCGGAGGCACTTGCTCCCTGCTAACGGGGGCACTTGCAGCTCAGCTCCTGCCCATGGTGGGACTGTTTTGTCTTTAAAGGTGAGTCGGGAACCTGGATCTGACACAGAAGTCTCCTGCTTCTGTTTTCAGCATTGTTCAGGCCATACGGTGTGGGCTGTGGGCCACATTTAGTTCATGGACCTTTGTTAGTGAATACCTTAGTGAAAAGGTAAAAATAATGAAGCAAATATGGAAAAGGGTTAAGACTTTATTAATGAAGGATTATGGGAGTCATTAGAATTTACACTGCTTGGGGCAAGTAGATGGCATAATAGTTACATTGCTAGACTCCCACATAGCAATCGTGGTTCAAGTCCCGGACCCGGCTGCTTAAACTCACACTTGGTCCATGTAACATGCATGCCCAAGATCTCGAGAGGAGAATGGAGGAGAAGGAATTGTGGTGTGGCCACCCCCCCCCTGGGGTGGGCCACCCCCCCCCCTTGGTGGTGATTTCTCACTTTTTGTCTCTCTCAGCAAGCTCACATGCCCTATAGCAAAAATCTCTCAAAAAATTTTTGCTTTTTACCATATATAACATTTTTCATAAAAAGAACATTTTCAAACTGAGTCACAGGCAAGAACACAGCCTCTGATGCACTGTCCTGAGGTCTCCTGTGGCTCTCAGCCACATTCTGCTGAGGCCTGTGTGGTGATTGGGGGTCAGCGTGTCTGCCCCTCCAGGACCTGGGTAAGACTGAGAGAAACAGAGTCTGGTGGAAGTCGGGCAGCCCCGCCCATGCTGGCCCACAGGTGACAGGCTTCTTCCTCTTCACACAGCCAACGGTATCTGCCACAGGTGACCCAGAAGTAGGGTGCTGTAGGGGGAACTGTAGGTATTTCTTCTCTAAGTTGAAGAATGGCCTCGTACTGAGGGAGTGGTTGTCTGCAACTGCTCCTCGTCTGGAGACTGGGCCCTGCTCGGCTGTCTCCTACTGGCGAGTTCCTCACCTGAGCTTCTGTTTCCACCCCAGTGTGTTGTAGGGTGCAGTGCAGGGAGGCACGGCCTGGAGCATAGGAGCAGGCTTGACAAATATGGCCGCCCTTCCTGGGTCGGTGATGTGGGAAGTGCTTGGTTGTCAATCGAGACTGCAGCTGTGTTGGATTTCCAGAGCACAGGATCTAGCTTGGGTTCCCAGGGACCAGCCGTTGCAAAAAAGAGCATGTGGAAAGAAAGTGGAAAAGGGTTAAGACTTTATTATGAAGGGTTATGGAGAGTCATTAGAATTTACTCTGTTTGGAGCCAGCAGATGGTGTAATGCTTACATTGCTGGGCTCCCACATCGTTGATTGTGGTTCGAGTCCCAGACTTGGCAGTTCTAATCCCAGGGGCTAACCCCACCTCAACTGAGTTGCTACCTCTGGGACCTGCGTAAGGGAGGTGCTAGTTAAGAGATGACGGGTAGGTGAGACTCATGGGTGGAAGCTGCTGTCCTCCACAGGGGCAAGGGCTCAACTCCTTTGGACACTGTACCCCAACCCAGCCCCACATGCAGCATGAGGGACCTTCTCCAGTCTCTCCTTGGTGCTTCAGGGTGTTTGAGCATCCTCTTCCAAAAAAAGACAGCTCTGCAAGTTCCTCCAGGACTGATTAGCTCCTTTCTGTCTTCCTGCAGCACGGCCTCTCAAGCTGTCCTTGAGGGTTTCTTTGCAGATTAAAAAACCAGGCTTGATTAGCTCCACGCGGCACTAACCTGGCGTATTAACCACCTTCCCGAGGAAGAGTATCTTCATTGCCTAATGAGGAGTTGAAACCTGGAATCCCAGGAGCAGGCCCAGCATTCTGAATGGGGGAGCAGAGCCCCAGAAGCTCCAGCCCAGGCTGGGGGACCGTGGCTCTCTTGGCCAGATGTCTGCCCTCCTTCCCACCCAGGCTACCTCTACCAGGCTCCAGGAGGTTTTAGCCACTGACCTGGGACTGTGCTGGTGACTTAGAGCAGCCTGCAGCAGTGTCCAAGTGCTGCCACCCCTCTGGAGGAAGGTTCCACTGAGGCAGTTCACCCAAGTGGCTTTGGGCAAGGAGACCTTGCTGTGATTTTGGAGTGGTCCCAGGGGGCCCTGCTGGCAGCAGAGCCCTGGTGAAATTGCAGTGTCAGAAAGGACCAATGACTTGTGAGTGTGTGCCCCAAATACTTCCTGGGTGTACTTTTGCTGAAAATGTCTTCCTCATTTACCTGAAGTTCACATTTCACTGGGCATCCTCTGTGTCTATTTGCTAACTCTGCCCACCATGGCTTAAAGGCGCCATTAAGAATGAACTCCTCTGCCATGCCGAGGCCCTTGGTAGGGCTTTGTGGGGGTCTCTTTGTCAGGGGGCAGGGCACTACTAGGCAGGCTTTCTGGGTGCCATCTGAGCATGGGACCTCCCGGGACAGATTGTCACTGAGCCCCTGCCTCAGGCTGGCTCTGGGCTGGCACGGGGGAGCAGAGGCGAGTGCCTGTCCAGTCTGCGGTACCTGGAGAGTCAGCCTGCCCTCTCCAGGCCGCAGTTCCTGTTTGTTCCGTGCGAGTCGTCAGAGCACGTTTCTTCTGCGGTTGAAGTGACCCTGGTCCTGCCCTGCTGTCTGCTCTGTGCTTACGTGCCTGCTTCGTCTTCATCCAGAAAGAGCCTCACCTTTCCAGAGGACCTTCCCAGCACCCCACACTACCCAGGCTGCTTTGCTTTAAGCTGGAGCCTACCAGTGCCGACGCACGTGAGCAGCACTGGCTCTGGACACCTGGGGTCCACACCTGAAATGCGGGCCCTTGCGCCGGAATTATTAAGAATTTCCAGGTGGGGACAGCAGATCATCACCCAGGTCCAAAGGCAGGCTTCTGTAGATCATTGCCCAGGCCCAAGGGCAGGACTTCTGTGACAGCACAGATCACATGCCCGTGCAGCTGGCCCTGCCTGCGAATCGCCCAGTAACTGCCAGCTGTCTGGACAGTGGGACCAGTTACCTGTGGGGTCATTTCTGACCGGGTGAAGGAAGCACCTGACCATGCACATCCTGTCTGTTTTCTCAGGATGCCAAGTTCGTAGAAGAGCGAAGAAAACAGCTTCAGAATTACCTGCGCAGCGTCATGAACAAAGTTATCCAGGTGGTCCCCGAGTTTGCCGCCAGCCCTAAGAAGGAGACCCTCACTCAGCTGATGCCGTTCTTCGTGTGAGTACCTTTAGCGCCGACATCAGCTGTGGCCCGGCAGCAGCGGCAGCAGAAATGGGTAGTTAGGGAGCCATGTGGTGCTCTGTGGTGCTCCAGGGGCTGCCACCGGTGCTGACATGGAGGCTGGGGCTCAGCCCTGGGCCTTCACAAGAGAGCAGGTATGCACACGGCCATTGCTGGTTTGAGGAGGCTCTGTGATTTTAGGCTCAGGTACTTTTTGATCAAAGGAAAGATGTGTGTTCTCTGCAGCTCACAGGTGTTCACGAACTGAACCGGTTTGTGTCAGTGCTTCTAGAATGTACATAATAAACCCAAGGAAAAATTCTCAGAGACTCCTGCCAGTGTCAGCTTAAATTATTTTTATATTCACATTAATATTACTTAAATGTGGACATTTCAAGGCCAACTGGCGGGATGGTGGTTAAGGCACTGGGCTCCCACATGGCAGACTGTGGTTCAATTCCTAGACCTGGCAACTTGCTTTCTCACTTTCTCTCTCTCTCTCTCTTCTTTCTGTTTCTCTGATGAGCACATGTGCTCTATAGCAAATTTAAAAATAATAATAAATAAAATTAAATATTTTTTAAAAAAAGACATTCAAAAGACCAAGTTTAATTATTTGTCCCTTTATCCCTTATAAAAGTCACAATAACGTGAAGAAGAAGAAGAAGAAGAAGAAACAGCTTCCATGTTATGCACTTACAAAATCACTAAAGTCACAGTTGTTAGTTAACATAATGGATGCTGTGGTTTTTCAGAAAACATCTCTGCTCATGAAGGTGGGGCAGGTTCTTTTGTGGTCACCACGCACCCGGCCAGTGTGTCCGCTGGCCGATTCTTCTGGCTTCATTGCTGGGAATCATCTACTTGTGTAGCGCCTCAGAGCATGTGTGGTCACTGTTGTCGCCACCTTATCACTGATTAGTCCACTTCTTTTTTTTTTGGCATCATTTTATTATTATTATTATTATTATTATTATTATTATTATTATTATATTCAGTCATTATACATCATTTAGTTTATGAAGAGATTTTATCCAGCATGATATATGCCACACAGCGGGCAAGTTGAGAATACTATGCACAACATCAATAGGCAGCATCAATAGACACCGTATCTGTGTCCCACAAATGTCTTAGTTCTCTATTTTTCCCAAATTTCCCTTCCTGCACTCTTCCCCTCTCCCACTCTCCTTCCACTTTGTCCCCAGTGTCCATAACAATTTTCAATGCTTTTCTGTCCTCCAGTCTTTCAGTCCCTGCCATGGAGTGTGGACATTCGGTGTGTGAGATGGAGACATACAATGTCTCTGTTTCTTTGAGTCTGCTCCATTCTAATTGTGCTCTTTAGCCCAAGGCATTTGCACCCTGGGGGAACCCAAAGGATAAAGGATTGATTGGTTTTGGAGTCTTCAGATATTACACTGTTTCTTAAATGTAACCATTGTAACAAAACATAAATGTAACAGTCTATGGAGAAATTCTGTGGATTCCCAAGAACACCATCACAACTCATCTGAGAAGTACTGATCTGGGTCTGCGAGGTTTTCTGGGTTAAAAGAGGAGTTACCTTTCACCATATCTCTTCAAAATGGGAGGTGGAGAGCTTGTGGGATCCATTTCATTCAAACATTAATTCAGGAACTCAAAATGTTTTTTTCTTCTGCTTCTCTCTGTGGAGTTCACTTTCAGAGGCATGCTTCTGTGGGGTGTCTGTCTGGGGTGCAGCTGACATTTCCAAGTTGAACTTTCAACGAGACAGATGTCGGCGGGGCTGCCCTTCTTACCTGCTTAAGGCCTTTGAAACCACAGCCAAGGTGGTTGCTATGTTTTTTCTGATTGCTTCAGGGATTTTGTGAGAGGGTGTAGCTGTATTGTAGTCCCGTTGGTAAAGGACGACTTTCCCCTGGATAGAAAACCCTGGAACGCAGCAGTTTTCTTCTGTCCACATATTTGTGATGCCCGGATCTTGATCTCAGCATTTTGAGAAAGCCACAAGACTTCATGAGAGGAGATCCTTCTTTGGAAGAGCCCTCTGGCCTGGGAACCAGCAGATGGCATAATGGTTATGTGGCTGGACTCCCACATAATCGACCACGATTCAAGTCCGGGACCTGGTGGCTTTAGACTCAAGCCAGGCGCATGTGCATGCACGGCCAAAATCCCAAGAGGAAAACGGAGAAGGGATTGTGGTGTGACCATCTCCCAGGGATGATTTCTTGCCTTTTGTCTCTCTGGAGAGCACTCACACCCTCTAGCAAAAATCTCTCAAAAAATTAAAAAAAAAAAAAGAGCCCCCTCCTGGCCTCTGATGTATGGTGGGAATCAACCTCTCACTTTATCATATGCATCTTGGCTACATTTCCTGATGATTAGAACCAAAATAGCAAATTGGCCATAAGATCGCTGAGGTGAAGGGTAAGTCTGAGGAGAAGGCACTGCCTGCGGCCCCGGGCAGTATGGGCATCTGAGTTGCATGCTCACCTAACACCGGTCTGCCCAGTCGTGCAAATCAGGTGCTGATGGACGCTCTGCAATGTGTCGTGCAGTTGTAGCCGTGCAGGTGCCATTGATCTGCACTGAGCGAGAAACCTTTTGTGCCTAATTAGCACAGAGAACACAAGGTTCAATTTCATGGGCTTTAAAAACAAAAAGCATTGCAGTAGGAGGTTATGGCAAATGACATCATATCGACACTGGAGTTTTGGTGAAACATTGGTCTAGACTTCAGTTGAAATAACTTTTTCCTTTGGCTTTTCTCTAAGTTCCAAATTGAGCTGCCCTTTCTCCCTCCTTTGTTGAGCAAGATGGCCTTATGGGGGGGAAATTGCAGGTTATTTTATTTGGGAGGAGAGAAGAGGAGTGGTGGCCAGTCTTCACCATGTTGGTGCACGCCTCATGTGACAGTTTCCTATCTAAGTATGCCCACAGAACTGCGAGCCTGGTGTCTCTGCTGAAAAGCTGAGCCTGAGAGGTCTTAGGGGAAACAAAAACCAAAAGCCAAGGAAACACCTCTTAGTTAAAGAAAGAAACCCCCAAAGCATAATTATTCTTATAAATCTTTACAGATTTCCCTTAGATCTTTCAAGTGCTAATTCAAGAACATAAAGATTTATTGTGGTTATTGAAAATAAATAGTCTTGTTTACCAGAGAGGGTGCCCTCCCTGGTCCCCTCCCACTGGGCACTCACTGTAGGCACTGCCTTGCTGGTCACCTGCTGTATGCCACCTTCCTGAGAGCCTACGGGACACCATGTCTTCATTTTATTAGCTGGAACCTGACAAAGTTGCTGTTAATATGGCACTTTCACAAGATTTCATAATACTTTGTAATTGCAGTTGTGTAAGTATAATCTATTTCATAATACTGATGAGGAAAGTGAGGCTTGGAGAGGGTACTGGTCAATCCCAGGGTCCCCTCAGCGCACAGGAACCTGGGTCATTTGGTGCTGAATCCTAACCTGGAACACAGGTGCAAACCTGCAGCCCAGGATGGAGCCTGCCCTTCCAACTTGTTCGATTTGGCCACTACAGTGGGGCTTTTTTATTTGTATTTCTTAATAGACATAGTTGCCAACATCAAAAAATTAGATATCAGAGAACGTCCAGCTGTTAAGTTTCTCTTGAAAAAGCAGAATGGGTGGTACTCCTACTCTCCCACCCTGTTGTTCTTGGCCAGAGTCAAAGTGGTTCCCAGTCCGTGCCATTCCTGTTGTCTCCTGGACACTAAACCAGCCTACCCGGTGGCATCCTTTTGGGTGATTTTGTCCTATGCTCACACTACCTGCCTGGCCCTGCACACACTTGAGTTTGTAGTCCTGGCTCTTCTCCTCTGCTCATAAGGCTCCTCCATTTAGGTCTGGACTTTGGACACTCCATGTTGCCCAGGGTGCATTTGGTTGGCGTATTATACTCCGATGTTGGTTCTGTGAGCTCGTCCACTGTTAAGCTTCAATAACAGCAGCCCTGTCCAGTTTGAGAGGTGGGCAGAAGAGATAAAAGCCAGTGGGTAGTTTTTGCTGGTACTTTCCTCATAAATATTCCTTGAAACTTTTGGGCTTGTGCAACCTGGAATCTAGTATTAAGTGGGCTCTGCTTCTGCACGTTTCCCACTCTGTTTCTGCCATTTTCCATGTCAGTATTCTGCTGTGTTCTGCAGGGGCATCCTAACATCTCGGTAATCTGCCATCTGCAGATGTGAGCGCTGGAGAATCAGCAGGTCGGAGTCTTTTCTCCCAATCTCTCTGCCTCCCGTTGCTGTCCGCTCATGCCAGCAGCAGCTCTGAATTAGAAAGTAGGACAGCAGGAAGTGGGGCATCTCTCTTCCACTTGGAATTGTGCGTGTCGGTGTGGCCAGGTGGGGACCAAAACAGGGAGCAGATGAATGGTGGTCCCCCAACGCTGTCTTCTTTGGGGAGTCTCATGTGGTGTGGGTCCTCCTGGTGTGTGGGGAAAGGTGGTCCCTGAGAGACGTGGCACACTGTGACCAGGTCCCCAGGGGGATGCCGAGTGCTGCTCAGGAAGGGAGCGGACTCCAGGAGTCCTTGCTGCAGACCGGCGGCCGTGTCAGTGATTAGTGGTGCGGTCGTTTAGCACATTATTACAATGTCTTGCAGAGCGATTCATCCCTGGGAACATCGCAGTTTGCTGCTCCTTGAGGGGTGAGAGAAAGGGCGGTAGAAGGCGGGTATTAATGTAGGCCACAGCACCAATTCTCACCTGGATTCTCAGTAGAAAACACAGTTCTTGTTTTCCCACTCCCGCATCCCCCAAATCACAGTAATTATGCCTCTGTCTCTGCCATTTTTCTTTCTGTTTGGGAGGAGTTGAAGGTCCGTTCTAAAAGCCATGAGGAGAAGCGAGGAAAATGACAGTGGAGGTACCTTAATGTGTTCCAGAAAAAGAGGGCGTGGAATGACTCCTGGGACCCAAACACCTCCATGTGGACGCAGGGGAGGCACTCCATCCACTCGGCAGGAATCGCCTGCTGCCATGGCATG